CGAATGATCCTTTCTTTAGCTGGATAGTATGTGCTATGCCGGGGCTTTTTTTTTTTTTTTTTTTTTCCTCATAAACCGTGAGCCACTCAGAGCTACAGAACCCAGTCTGCCCTGCTACTTGGCGGGAGAAGAAGAGGATTCATACCTTTCTGAAAAGTATTAACCTGTAAATGAATGTAATGGATCCTGCTGGAATTCCAACTCAATTCTTCAATCCGAACCACTATCCATTGCTCCACTGTGCCTCCGTATAATACCTTACAATTTCTTAAAGAAATCAAACCGTATTCCGAAATAGAACTTAAACAAAACTTTCAACATAAAACACACATATCCCTGCCTCTTGTAATTAAGCCCACATAAACATGTATATTCACAAAAGCTGAGTATTATATACCATGTATTCTTTTGCGAAAACAGAATGACATAGACCATATTTCTATTACTTTAAAGCTCCCAAGAAAATTAAATATCAGCATTAAATGACCCATAAGTAATTGATATGGCATAGAACGAACAAATCAGTCATATACCAGCACTGCAGAATCACAAAGAACTGTACCAACTAACAGAAACTACATGAATGTGAACAGTAGCAACAACTAAAATGGATATGTAACTCAAAGAGAGAATAATGGCATAATTAAAATGTTGACATCAAAAAAAATCAATACCAGAAAGAGCAGTAACTGGAATCAAAACCTATTTTCCTGGAAAAAAAAATTTTAATGAAAAGATGTTAAATTTCAGCTGGCAGCCATACTGGTTGTTTAGTCAATAAATGCCAAATGTTTCCTTATAAGGAAACAACTAATATTATCTTTTAGGGATGGAGAGGATACGACACTCTTGTCCCAGCCTGATGGCCAGGTAGTGATGAAAAGCATAACTAAAGTAGAACTGTCTGTTTAGTTACTGAATTCCAAATGTTTCCTTATAAGGAAACAGCTAATATTACTATCATTTGATTTCTCTTTCAGTGTTCGTTTTGGCTCCTTTAATGGTTGACCAAAGAGCAAATTATCTGTTAATATGATGTGATCTTGTTCAGCACAATGTCTCCTTGATGCAGTCAAATTTCAACCAAATTCTTGTACTTCTTCCATTAGAGGACATTGGAGGAATTGTCTGTTGCTATGACCTATGCTTGCTCAGTCATTTGTACGGCACTCGATGAATGGTCACTTCTTATTTTTACATTTATGCCACAAGAATAAAATCCCTTTGTCCGTTTATAGATTTATTGTCAGTAAAATGGAACAGTCATTGTGTGGCAGAGGGAAGGAGTGAACTAATTTATCCTCACAATGTCGTCGTCAATCACATCTTGACATGAAATAGATCAACAAAACCTGCAGTATTTTGTTGCTGCTCGTATTATTTGGTCTAGAGATTGGGGGGGAAGAGGGAGACCCCCCCTCCATCAAGCTACTTCTTTGTTGTATAGAAAGGAATGTTTTTTACTTATTCTGTCATTTCTACTATTGTCAATTATTCCACTATTCATAAAGTTGGACAGAATTAAAGTCCTGTTTGATATTTTTATCTTGACCCATTGGAATTACCTAATTTTATTTATTTTAGAAATATTAATGCAGATCTATATTTAGAGCGATCATTAAAACAATGATTTAATTTCATGCTGATTTTAAAAAAAAAAAAATCTATTTAGTAGGAGTTTGTCTTAATTTTTATCAATGATGCCATTCTTGCCTGGCTGAGCTGGCCCTTTTGGGGGATAATAAAAAAGAATAGTTACCATTTACTGGAAATGAATGACAATAAAACACTGATGGCTTTCTTTTTTTTCTTCTCTCTCGCACATGGGTGATACTTTTGGTTTTGATTGGATACTCTTCAGTATTGACAATAAACTAAATCCAGCAGCAATACCTCTGATCGGGAGATTGGAGGTTTTAAGGAGCATGAAACCATCTCTTAATTACTGTTGTTTCCAGGTCCATCATGACCTCAAGTGGTAGCAGCTAGGATCCCAGCTATAGGCAAATAGTGAACCTCTAAACAAAAATCAACAGTACATTTTTACAGTAAAATTACCAACAATACATTTTATGATCTTGTTACGTGTTGATAATTGTAACAAAGGAAAAAAATGATTTACCACAACACAGAGCTAAATCGCAAACAAATATTTAATTTACTAAAACACAACATTAAATATATACAATATAAACAATTGTGGCCTACAAAACAGAAAACACAGAGTTACTGGCGAAGTGTTACGAGGGAGAAGGAAAGGGAATCAGAATCACTTTAAGGCTAGTGAAGTAATCTAAGTGCTATATTTGGAAATCCACAAAGGTGTATAAATAAATATTAATTTTTAGTTTGGTCAATGAAAATTAGTCAAAATTCTATTTACCAAATTTGTTCCATGAAATTCTCTTTTGGGTTTTGGTTGGTCGGCAACTTTTTATAGAGATTCTTTCGGCTGGATATAATAGTCCTCGAATCAAAAGCGGAGTTGATAACAGCAGAAATTCCCATTCATCAACTGACAACCCTTTTCCAAAATCCCATTTTTATAGGGGCTAACACCTAATTTGCATATTTCTAGATGTTTCTCGAATCATCTAGATTTTTCTCGAATATACTAGAATGATCTAGAATCTTCCAAACATTCTATTTCTAATTTCTCTATTTTACAACTACTTCATGAATGAAAACTCTTTTGTAATAACAAGTAGAACTCTGTGGAATCCCTTATTATAAAAATGCATCCTCGTAACAATCTACAAATTATATATCTAAAAAATACCGAAAGCATAAAATTATCTAGAAAATATCTGTAGTTGAAAGCATAAAATTACAAACAAAATATTTAGATTTTGGCATAAAATTATCCAGAGACATTGATATGCCGCCAAACAAAATCAACCAAAAACCCTTCAGTACAAACTAAGCCAAATGATATCCCCAACATAATATAATAGTACATTATAAAACTGGTTGTATTGTATGCAATTATATGCTGGTTTGAAAATAGTACTAAGCACTAGTTAGTTTCTAACACGGACATTGGAGACCAAAATTTTAAAGTATCTTGAAAATAATATAGCAAGCAATTTTGTAAAGAAATATGTATGTCTACCACAGCAGAAGTGCTAACTTACATAGTCCAATCTTCATCTCCAAGTTGTTTTTCTTTAATATTTCAGCCAATCCATTCTATATTCTAAGGAAAGAGGATCTCTTTTGGTAGTAATATAATCATTTGCAGTCAAATGCTTTAAACCATACATTTTTCTATGGTTTTTATTTGCTAACAATCTGTTTGGACAAAAAGCAGCAATAAAGAAAAATGTTAGAGAAAAAAAAGTTACTGCTTCTAAGGTCTCTGAATCTGGTGTTGTGTGTATTTTTATTTTTTTGTCTCCAGGATTTTTTAGTTAGGAAGGATAGAGCCAGCATTTGGTTAATTGATAAGTAGGGATGAAAAATTCTTAACCCAACTTGTTGTAAAATATGACTAAATATCAACATTTTAATTTTTTTTTTTTTTTTTTTTTTTTTTTTTCTTGCATGGGGGAGGGGATGGTTGCTCAATCAGGCCGAGAACTTTTCAGCACCCCTTTTATACTTTTGATTACTAGTGTTACCACTGAGCAGATCTGCTAAGTAAGTAGTCCTTGACTGACAATAGTAATTTATTTTATTGGCTCCTGATTGTTAGGTACACATTACTAGCTTTGCTCCCTACAATCTGATTTGATATTAGTAATTATTGACTGTTTATTTGATCACAACATATAAAGTAGACAAGCACTTCTGTTTTAAATACGAGATTGGTTCTCGCATTTTACTCTAATAAAAAATGAACACTGATCAGCAACTATCGACTGTATGGGTTATTTTCAGCAAAAAGATTTTTTTTAATGTGTCATTGATGTATATAAATTAGAAAATCAATTTGATTGCTAAATTCTTAATGGTTGGTATGTTTTTGTTAATTGTGATGCCTTAAATATCGTTTTTTATTTTTATTTTTTATACTCGTATGAAAGGCTGAAGCTAATTCTGAAACCTTACTACTTGTCAGGAAATCAATATTTGATTAACAAATACAGAGTCCTGTTCTATTTCAATATTAATTTGTATCCTCTTCAGATTTGTTACATTTTACATGGAAGGGTATTTTTTTTTTATTTTTTTATTTTTTTTTATTTTATGGGAAATACAAAATAAATATGACGATGTGTAGTAAGTAGTATAACAATACCTCAATAAAACAAGATAAGTTAGTGATGATAGCAGCAAGGAATTGTCTGGTCTGCACACTTAACCACATATCCAAAAGATTTAGGGTTTTTTTTTTGTTTTAGTCTGTGGATCTTTTAAAAAATAGATGTTAACTTCAAGTTTGAAGAAATGAGAAAGGAAAAAAATAAATTAGTTGTTTTTACTCTTGCTTTTTGTAATGCTAAACTTTTTTTTTAATGAAATACTAATAAAAATTAGATGTTAATGTCATTGTTAATTGATAGCTGAAATGTTGAATTAGCCATTTTAATATTCAAGATCAAATAAATAGTTCTAATAATTTATATATGAAGAAAAGGCAACAAATAAAAGCAAGAAATTCCAGATTTGCAAGCACTAAATATCCTCTAAAGAATAATGTCCTTCATAGAATATTACAATTTCTCTTTAGGTATTAAACCCAGTGGCTTATGGCAACATAACATTGAAACCCTGATGCCCGTACAATGACTGAAGTTAAGCAATGTCAAGCCTGGTCAGTAACTAGATGGGTGACTTGAAATAACAGGTGCTGTAGGCTTGGATGTGCAGGTGGTCTAATTGATAATGGGATTGTTAATTGGAGAGCAGTTCTGCCAATCTAGTGCTGTGCTTAAATTCACATAAAATTTAAAAAAAAAAAAAAGAGTGGAAGACCTAGAACTAGAATTCTGATCATGAGATCTGGGTTCAAATCTCTGTATAACTGATTTGTTAAGGTGATTTCTTCCCACATCATGTTGAAACATTGGTTCCTATGAGATCACCAAAGTTAAGCAACATTGACCCTGGTCAGTAACTAGATGGGTGACAACTTGGGAATACTAGGTGCTGTAAGCTTGCATATGCAGGTGGTGTAATGATAATGGCTCGGAATTGCTAATTGGAATGCTAATTTCAGTTGGGTTTGCTATATTCTGTTACTTTTCTCAAGAGTATTTGCATGTATGAATCCACCTTTTCTCTCTCATCTATGGGTTAATTAGTAAGATTTGTATCATTAAACCATTATCATCTCAAAAAAAAAAATCTTACAATCTAAAAATATTTTCTGGCTTTAAATAACCTGCAAAAGGTTGATAAGCCATAGAAAACTAATTAATCAGTCAATGTACATTGTTTGTATTTTGTGTTGCTTCCTTTTTTTTTTCTTTTTTCTTTTCTTTTTTTTTCAAACAATATAAGAACTTTAACTATGTAGGAAAAATGTTGCTTTTAAAAAAAAAAAAAAAAATTCTATATTGGCAGTAGAAGATATGAAGATGTATTAGGATTGCCAAAGATGCTTTCCAAAAGCTAAGAAGAGTATTAAGAGACAAAAATTTAGTTAGGAACAAAGAAAAGAATACTGGACTGTTATGTGATATGTCTTCCTGTATGGCAGTGACTTCTGGACAATCTCCTTGAAGATGAAGGGACTTAAACCAACAGAAATGTGGTTCTGCAGAAGGATGCTGAGGATACCATGGAGCAAACATATGAACAACAATGAGGTTTTGGAAAAAATGGAAACATACTTAACATCAGGAAGAGGGAGCTGAAATTTCTGGGGCATATAATGAGAAAGGAAGGCTTGGAAAACATGATAATCACAGGACAGATTGAGGGGAAAGAACGATAGAGGAAAGCAGCATGTAACTTACTCGATAAGCTTGAGCAAATGGATGGTAGAACAGGGTTTGGGAGAAATAACAAAAAAAAAGCTATGAGGGACAGGAAGATGTGGAGGGCCGTGATTGCCTTCGTCCCATGACATAGAAATGAAGGGAGTGTTACTTTTTCTCTCTCTCTCTCTCTCTCTATGCCTGTCTCTGCGTCTCTGTCATATATATATATATATATATATATATACGTGGCTGAAAAACTTGCATGACCATTATATTGTGGGTGGTGTAGAAAAATTCAATGCAAGACGAAGCATTCACGTTTAAGCTGGTAATCGTTATAAATTTATAGTAGTTTAAAGTAACCAAATAGTTTTGCATTGTAATTTATTTGTTTACAAGGGCAAAATTCCAGTTTTGTCATGGCATAGTTAACTTTAAATGAAAAATTATTGAATTTTACTTGCCTTATTGTTTTGCTCCAGATTCCTTATCCAGCTGTTGCAAATCTAATTTTATTGAAACTTAGCTAGTATCAGTAATGAAATAAAAATAAAAAAAAAAAAATAAAAATAAAAAAAAAAGTCTGATTTTCTGAATTTTAATAAACTATCATTTATTCATGCCTTTATTGGGGGGGGGGCTGTATCTGTGTCTGCTGTGTCACCTGCATATTTTACGTTAAGATTGTGCCTGCCAATAATAAATCCTGGTAGGACTTCCAGTTCTCTCAGGATCACCCTCATTATAAAGGTTGAATAAATCTGGTGAAAAGATGCATTTTTGTCTTGAACACCATTCTATTATTGTGTATTTACAGATTTCATTTTCTATTCATATGCAGGCTGTTTGCTCTTAATTTTGAGTTCTGGATCATTCTAATATCTTTTCCGAATAAATCTATCTTACCTGGCAGTTCAGACAGTTGAACTCCTACAGTAGATAGTAAAGGAAATGTGGCGAATGCTCATAAAGAGGCCTCAGATCGCATGCTGACATGTTTGTCAATGCCAGTTACATATGTGTTTTTCCTGTTAGAAGTGGGACATTTTGGCATGTCTAGCTAGATACGGGTCTCTCTGAAACTGGCCAAGATACGGGTCTTTGTAAGATGCCTTATGTCAGTAAAAGCTGGGAGAAAGCAACAATCTAGTTGGCAAGACACAAGGTCTTGTGAAGTCAGTCCCATGGACATTTTGTTCCTCAAATTGCTGTGGTTTCTGAGACAATGTTATTTTTTTTGGTACCTCCCATCTCTTTCCGCTCATCCTATTATCCCTGTAGTTGTTAGGAGAGCAATTGATTAGATGCCCCCCCCACCTGAACAAACGCTTTGCTTACATTACAACAGGAAAGTGAGAAGAAAGGACTAGCCATCAGTTGTAAGAAGATAATGTATGGTTGTCGGCAGAAAAGAAGCCCATGATGTTAACTACAAATTGAAGATGTCAAACACAAAAATGTAAATATCTGGGAAGTGTGTTAACAGATGACAGAAAATGTGACAATGAAATCCAAAGGCACATCAGGATAGCAAAAGATGCCTTCCAAAAGCTAAACAATGTATTAAGAAACAGGAGCCTGTGGAACAAGTGGCATGTTGTTCTTGACCAGGAAAGTTTGAATTTTGTCAACTGCATGAGCAGACAAATTTCCCTGACGCTCTCCACGTATACAAATCCTCCATAAAAATGGAATGCTCTGATCCTATGCTTATTCTCACTTCAGGAGCAATTCCTTAGATTGTTACACAGCAGTCTTCCATGAATATTCACCAAACTTTTTCGAATGGATCCTTGTTTCAGCTTGTGGATGGTCTGCCTGAGCATACCTTTCTCTCCACTGAGGTGCGGTCATGTTTTTAGTGGTAGTACCACACTTGCTCATGGCACCATCACCAAAGGCCTGCTGAATCTTCTGGATGGTTTGAGCTTGAGTATTACCAAGCTTTTGGCAAAACTTGATGTAAGATCTCTGCTCAATGCATTCAGTTATCTTGTATGAAAATCTGATGACCACACAGTACATGTCTATACTCTATATGTAACAGCTGGTAACTGATGTGGCCTACTAGCCTGAAAATTTTGGGGCATGAATCAGAAGGGGACATCACCTCCCATTCAAAAGATTTTATCCACACATTAGTTTTGGTGTGGGGTGGGGGATAGTTGGATACTTTTTGAATGCATATGATATTTAGAACATTACATTGCATGTAATTCAATAATTTCATTTGAAAGTAGATATTTATAATGGGGATTTTACCAGACATAATAAAGACCTTTATATGGCCCCCAATAAATGTTTTCTGAAAGAATTTTACATTAGAAATTTATAACAGACATTTTTTTAAAGCTTTTTTAGACTGTTACACTTAAAGATTTTCTGGATCAATCTGAACGCAAAGAAAAAGAACTAAATTCAAATGTTCAGCATTGAAATATGCAGAATTTTAACATTCAACCACAAAAATATTTTAGCTCAAGGTTAAGTGTTGTCCAAGTGTGTATAGGAATTGAGCAATTTAATTTTGAGAAAAATTTAAATCATTTTAACCACAATAGCATTGTGAAATTGAAACTTTGATTTTTACAGACCCGAAAAATGAATGCTTTACATTTGGACTAATATCCTCATTTTTATCACAATGTTTCAACCATTGTATCTTTTGGCCTTCATGTGTCTGTCAATCCAGGTAGACTGCTGGGAATTTCAAACTGGACCCATTTAATCTATGGGAGTAGATTGTTCTTGTTCCACTGTTCTAGTCTAGGCATATGCTATCTGTTTAATTTTGTACTGCTGAATTATTGCTCAACCTGTTGAGTCTAAGGCCAGTCTCTACTTACCCAACCCAGGGATTGAACTCCCAATTACTATGCTACCAAATTCATGAATCAATTTCATTAGAACTTGAAGCCTTAACATTCTCTGTACCTGTCTGTTGCTGCTGTCACATTTGAGCTCCTTCACTGCTGCTTATCTTTTCTTGCTGAGGCTTTGCTGTCATCTCTTTATTTTTAATAATGGCTAATATATGGTACTTATTTCTATGCTAGGTATAGTGAGGAGGCCATCATAGCCCAACATGTGTGAAATACTTTGTCTGTTCTTAAATATTAATACTTATATTCTACACATGGTCCAAAGCACATCGGATCTAACTACGATTTCTCCTGCAAAGGAGGATGCAGGTTTTTTTATCCTGCCAAGAAGGTACATTTTTTATTTTATTTATTTATTTATTTTTTTCTTGGTTTGTGTGCTCTCTTCAGCTATAGACAAGGAATCATCTGCTGACACTTATATCATCATCATTCTAGCTCGGGTTAAAAGCCACTTGTCAATAAAATGAACTGAATTTAGTTCTTTCTGGTTCATGTGACTAGATATATACATCTTAAGTACAATCAACCAGTCTGTTTTGAAATTGTTACAGCATTCTTGATAGGAGCTTATCCTTCATGGGTGGGTGTTTGGTGATTTACTAAACGCAGCTTAGGTGTGGCATAAGGCTGCAAGTATGCAAGTGAGAATGAAACTAATAGTCACAGATTTTGTACATTAAAAACTCTTTCCCTTCTGTTGTAGAGTAGTTTCACAGTGGAGGCTTGTATTTCACTAAGTCAGTCCTAAAATAGGTTCGACATACACAACAGTTAGGAACTTGATATAATAGGCAATGACGCAGAGAAATTTAGTTGTGGTGGCTGATACTTTAATATCCGACTAACGGTCGTCCGGCATCGACTGACTGACCAACCCCCTGAGCCACTCATTACTCTTACTTAGGTACCTCCACGAGATTGCTAAAAAAAGAGTATAGCATGATGAAAAAGACGCCAAACTTGACGAAAACAAAATTTTATCGTCTAAATGTTTGTTATTATTAAGAGGAAAGATCAAAGTATTTTTTGGGGTATTTTTTTTCCATTTTTTTTAATCGTTCCTAGCACGGCCAAAATTTTCATTAAAAATTTTTTTTTTTTTTTTTTTTTTTTTGAGTCAGCAAAATTGACTTTTTTTTTTTCCATTTTAAAAAAAAAAACTGGAAATCTCACTTTGGAATTCTTTTAAATATCAATTATCATTTTTCAAAACTTATTTTAAGAAAATTATAATGTTTATTTAAAATATTTTGAACCAAACTTAACTTAGTTTTTGTGCCAAAAAGATGTAATTTGAAAATAAAACAAAGCAGGTCATAAACTTTCGCGTCTCTTGACAGGTGATG